GGAGTGAGTTTAAGCCACTGGGTCCGGGACTCGAATCATAGTCGACTACGTGGGAGTCCAGCGACATAGCCATTATGCTAACTGCTGCAGATTTTTGACAACTGACTGATCAATGTGGATCTTGAGAAGTGGGGTAGAGGACAGGTCTGAGCTCCCGACTTCGTGGTGCTTCACGTCACCAGTGGGAGATCACCTGTGCTGCTTTGCTGGCTGATCAGTTTCCCCATCTTGCTCTGCACATGGACCACCTGTTTATCATCAGGTATTTATAGCACCGCTAACTGCTGCAGATTTTTGACAACTGACTGATCAATGTGGATCTTGAGAAGTGGGGTAGAGGACAGGTCTGAGCTCCCGACTTCGTGGTGCTTCACGTCACCAGTGGGAGATCACCTGTGCTGCTTTGCTGGCTGATCAGTTTCCCCATCTTGCTCTGCACATGGACCACCTGTTTATCATCAGGTATTTATAGCACCCAGGCTCAGCACCTGGGCCCCCTGGCAGCTATCACAGGATGACTCTGAAGGAAAGGTCAGCGATTCTCTTCACCCATCAGGCCCTGTTCATTCCCTAGAAGAATCCGGAAAGCAGCCCAGCAGGCATCCGTTCCCTCCTCTCTGAACTGCACTCCTTGCTGAGCCATCTGGTTTACTAGTGGAGTTGCAAGGAAGTGTACCGTGAGCTGACTTTTGCTTGTTTGCTGTAGAGTGTGTGCACTCACCAGAGGGAGACAAAGAGAAAGAGAGAAATCTCTCTCCTCTTGGGATTTTGGGCATGCACTCACACGTGCCTGGTGTGTTTTTTAAGACTCCAGGTCTGGGACTTGAACCATGCAGCCAGCCATGTGGGATCCAACCACCTTAACCTGTATGCCACCTACTGGCCCATAAGCTGGCTTTCTGAAATAATGCACCTTGTTCTTCACATTGTGTTCGCAGCATATGACCCAAATTGCTGCAATGATGATAAGATGACAGGGCTCTCCCATAGGCTCCCTGCCCAGGCTGCCCTTTCCATGAGAGCAGATGCACATGTCCCTGTTTCCCTGGCTGGACAGACACTCGTGTTCATTATAAGAAGGGGGTGAGATGAGCCAGTGTCTTTGGGGTCTGGAGGGTCGAAGCGGGCACGTACCTTTCTCACTAACTGGGCAAAATCCCCACAGTCCCGGGGGGGCAGTCCGAGGAGCGGCCGAGTGCAGGAGTCCAGAGCTGAGCCATGGCTCACAACCAGAATGACGCCCACTATGGAAAAAATCAACACCTCAAGTTCAAAGCAAGCACAGAGGGTACCTTTTATGAGAACAGGGATTCCTAAAGTTGGAGTGGAGCTACCTCACAGCAACCCAAAGCCTGGGAGACACCATGGTAGGAATCAGAAGGGGTTGGTAATGCTTAATAGTGCTCGCAGTTCTACCTGTCACTGTGTATCACATTCAAGGCACGTCCCCTCTCCATGCATGGCTACCTGCCAGCCTCAGTGTGGCATAAAACATGATCTCAGCCATTGCCCTCTTTGGCTGGTTGCTTAGGCACCATCTACCACAGATTAGAACCTAGTGGTGGCTACCGCCCAGGCCTAATCTGATTTGCTTCAGAATTATCAGCTGGTTTATCCCAACCAGCCCACTATGACTCTGTGTTAGATAAGGACACCAAGAGCCCACAAGCTGAGGAGCCTCCTTCAGGTGACACAATGTGGCCCTGCCAGCTCAGGGCAGGTGTTGGAGCCAAGACGTCTGCGTATGCTTCACTGAGACAAAGTGAGGCTGGGAAAGTGAGGCAGTCAGTGAAGAGAGCCAAGGCAGGTGTCCTGGACCCTGGCCCTTTACCCTACTCAGAAGTAGGTTGTGCTGACCCTCTGTCCTGTCTCCTGTCTCCTAGGAATCCAACCTGAGTCATTTGGACATAGGTCCCTTTGGCATTCAGCCCAGCATTGGGGGTCCCAGTGCCTGGACAGTGGTATGTGTCTATGTCCCCAGTGAAGACAGCAGCAGAGATAATCATATTCTACTGGCTGAGAGTAGGGGGTGGGGGAGGTTGGACCACAGATTCAGAAACTTGGCAAATTTCCACCCATAGGCCAGGCCTTGAACTCTGGAGCTGTTTGTACAAGGATGGGGCAAACTTACTGTCCTGCGAGCAGGTGCTGATGATCTGCTCCATGCTCACTGCACACCTGTGGACATACTCATCATAGCTCTCAGCTGGCATAAGGGAAGACAGGGGGAACGCAGGCCTGCGGCTCCAGCTTTGTGCTTAAAACTGGCAAAGGGTCAACATTTGATCTCCAGAGTGCAACCTTATTGGACACCAGAAAGTTCTGGGATGGCTGAGTCGGACAGAGTATCTGAGTGAATTCTAGTCAGATTCCTTGGAACCTTCTTCTTGACAAGGGCCTGACCTTTGGGCTTCTGTGTCTGTCCTTGTGGTCAGTTTTAGCAAGAACTGCCCACCCCCCAGTGTCTGATTCACCAACCCCAGGTGCTGTCTGGTCATTGTGCCCGTTTT